ATGTTTCAGAAGAGTTGCCCCATTGCTGATCGAATCATAGAGGCTAGCCAGAATCAGTTCTGCCAAACAGATGTTTTGGCGGTGATGCAGTTGAGTAGCAAGAGTGACCATCTTTTTGGTCACCTGTAGAGACTTCGAGCAAAACACAAAGCGAGTTAGCCATAAGGCTAGAAACGCTATGTGTTCGACATCCGACACAGCATCTGTCGACCTGTCGTGATAATGGTTGATGAAAGTGGTGTATGTTGGTTTGGTCTCAGAGAAGCCAATTTGGTCCTCCGACATCTCCTCCGGATCGAAGTAATCCCCGGTGGGTCGAAGGCCAGTAATAGCGGCCACATCGAAGAGTGTGGGGGTTAGCATCCCACAGGGAAGATGAAAAGTAAAGTGGGAGTAGTCCCAGAACAACAGTGAAGCTATCAGCATCTCCGGGGAGTAGTTCAAACCTGTCTTCGACAGCATCACTAGGTCGAAGATTCCCATATCCTTCCAGATCGGAGTTTGGTGCTTCTCCATCTTTGTTAGCCAAGCAACGTAATTGGAGGTAAGGTTAGGGCAAGACCTGAAGACCCTAACACCTCTGTTGAAGAAGCGGAGGTCGATTTTTTCACGTGCAGGGTCTTCATTGTCTTCTGCGTCTTTCTTGGCGCATGCTACTGGTTTGAGTTTCTCGACTATTGGGAAATAGCTCTTGATCTTCAGAGCTTCAGAGATACTTGGATTCATGGGGCCAGACATTGCAAAGATCTGGTTGGAGTATCCAACCGGGATCATCAAGTGGCGCGAGTAAGCATCGCGAACGGCGATGTCAGAAGGTTCAGGAACCCTTCGTTTGCCTGTAGAATTTACTACCGGAGCAGTGACGAAAACCTTGGGTTTAGCATGTTCAGTTGGTGCGTTAGCATTAGGAGCAGTAGAACCAGAGGCCATGGTTTGGTGTTGAGTTCAAAATGAGGTTGAAGATGAAGTGAAAGAGGAAGAATTTCTGCAAAGATAGCAAGCTTGTATGAAAACTGGGAAGTTTGAAGGCTAGATGGCGTAAAAAGTCCCACAATGGGGTACTTACTACTAATTATAGTAGTGGGAAAAGTCCCCAATAACGAGGACATTAAATGCCATTTAATGCTGCAGGAGTTAGTGGGACGCGTGGCAGCCCCCTGTTGTTTTGGCCGTTTCTGCAGAAATAGAGGGACGCAGCGTGCGTCCTCGTTTTTGGGAATTGTCATAATGACAAATTCTGAAATGACGTTTGGTACTGCACGCCGTACTGAAAGTGACGTCCTAGGATCAAATCAATGATGGTTTTCTTGGGATTGCCAATAGTTGGTAAAAAGCAACAAAAAGTGCACAAGTTAACTTGTGACTAAGCGTGAAAAAGACAAGTGTCGAATGGCGTTTCAAAGAATGCCTTTTTTCTGTCAGAGTCGAAATAAGGCATTCTTGGGGGGCAATTTGTTGGCTCCTAAATTCGACACTCTTGTTTTATCAATGTCAACCATTAAAAGCTGAAAGATGCTTTCGACTGGCTAAGTCTGTCGAAGTGCCCGTCGAAAGATGGCAAAGTACTTAGAAGATTTCTTCAAAGGAAGAAGGCTGGTTGCCTTCGACGTCGAAGGAGTTTCTCGTCGAAGATGTCTCTTGACGAAAGTGTTCGATGGTTCAGAGTGGAGCAGTTTGAAATTCAAGCATTTGGAGGGAAAACAGTTTCCAGCAGTTACCACGTGCAAACGTGCAAGGATCTGGAGCGTCGAGCGTGGAGAACGTGCCAAGTGGATTGATCTCGAAGCAGTGTAACTGCCCGACGGTTACTTGGGATGTTTTAGTATAAATAGGAGTAGACATGTAGTTTCTCGCGTGTGTTCACAATTCTATACAAAGTCACTCATATAGATTCGAGTACCCAGCGTGTGAGAAAGAATTGTTGAGAAATGTATGTGTGAAACACCAATTTTATCAATTAAAGTCATTTACTTTTCCAGAAATTTACTTGCTTTCTCCTTTACATTCTTGTCGAACCTTTTACTTTAAGCCTTGTTTATTTTACCAAGTCTTTCCTTTATGCAATTCATTTAAAGCCAATTTATTTAAAGCCTTATCCAATTCAATCAAACTTCAAAATCAACCTATGTCCTAGGATCAATCTGATCGATCCTGCGAGTAACCAAATAAGTAACCATTTGGAGGATCAGCGGTTGTTTACCAAAACCCAAGGTAAACACATCCCCTTCCATTTCTCCATCATTTTGTATTACGAACCCAAGATGTTTAAACTGTGTGACTTGGGGGATGATATGGTTTTCATATTTTGCCTCTAAGTTAAAAATATTTCTTCTTTTGTTGAACTTATATTATATATATATATACTTTGTCTTACTTTTACTTAAGTGAAATCATGTGTTTCTAAAGATCGTCTCCAAGTTTCCAACCTCTCATTTAAATCATCCTTCGACTCTCCAAGTAGGACTATATCATCTGTAAAAAAACATGCATCTCGATTATAACTTTTAAATGTGTTATGTGAGCACATCCAAAATTAAGGTAAAAATATATGGGCTTAGGATTAAGCAGTGATGCAAACCGATTATCATGGGGAAATAATCTATTTCTCATCCTTGTGTTTGCACAATAGTCAATATCCTTCATACATATCTTGGATAACTCAAATATATGTAATCATAACCAATTTCTTCTTTAGGGTTTTCCATAAAATCTTTCTAGGCACTCTATCACACACCTTCTCTAAATCAATAAAATTAAGTGCATGTCTTATTGTTCCATCCGATATTGCTTCATCACACATCGTAATGGATATATTGTTTCCATGGTCGACCTTGTAGGCATAAAACCAAATTGATTCTCAGTGACTCGAGTCTCTTTTCTTAATCTTAGTTCCATCACTATTTCCCATAAATTCATGGTATAACTCATAAATTTAATCCCCCTATATTTTGCACATTTTGTATACCCATTTGTTCCTATAAGTTGGAACTAGAGTGATTTTTCTCCATTAATCAGACATTTGCTTTGATCTCTTAATTTCATTAAAGAATTTGTTAAGCCACTTAATACCTTTATATCCAATAATTTTCCATATTTCAATAGGTATGTTGTCTGGCCCAATCGCCTCCTTGTTACTCATCATTTTCAATGTTTCATTTACCTCTTGTTTCTCAATCCAACGGTAGTAATTAAAGATTTGATCCTATTCTCATATGTCGAGCTTACTAAATTCTAGTGACATATCATATCCTTCATTGAATACATTTTAGAAATATGTCTTCCACATATCCTTTATATCTTTTTCCTAAACCAAGATTTTACCCTCTTAGTCTTTAACACACTTCACTTGATCCAAATCTCTTGTCTTTCTTTCTCTTCCCTTAGCAAGACTAAATAATTAACAAATAAAATTAAAATAAGTGTGTCTTATATAATTGATCGTTTCTATTGAAATTCAATTTTTGGTATAAATCGAGTATCTTTTATGCTCAATTGTAAAGACAAACCCTCAAGTCGGGGAGGACCTGTTAGAATAAAATTTGTTCATACTCTTTGAGTTCATACTCCTTGGATTTTGATGATAACAAAATTACTTAATGAACAATAGGGTATACTAATGTTTGTTTAAGTGTGCATGATCATTAAGCTTATAATTAACTAGGTTTTGATCCAATTAAATAGCTCGTAAAGAAGAAGCAAGTAAATCCAGATTCTAATGGACCAAAATCGAAATTTCAAATAAGACCTCAGCACCATATGATTTTAATATCTGATGTTCAAATAGAACCTAAGTTGCTACATTGACTTTGCCTCTTATGATTCAAATGGAATTTCAAGCACTATACTGAAAACACGGTACAAAGCTCTATTGTCCGTACTCTGTTTAAAAGAAACTCCATATTGTTAACGACTAGAATTATGGAGAAAGCCAACTAGAGATTTTAGCACAAGACTCAAGGATAAATGATATGATTTATTCGGTCTACTAATCCATGCATATAGACGCCTTACTTAAGAAAGACAAATGGATAAAACAATTATTCAGAAGATGAAGATTCTCATCATACCAACTCCAATGTCTCTTTTTTGGAAACCGCTTCTTCAGTAAAGACACTTGTGCAAGCAAGCTTCCAACTTCTATTTTATTCCCTCTATATAAGGAGCTAAAGACTCAAAAGAAGTAACAAGAAGTAATACAACAATAACAATAATAGAAATCAAAATATTGCAAGAATTGTCTCATACTCCAAGTTATAGTTTATAGTTGTTGTATTGCATAAAGACTTAAGAGTTTCTTGCACTTCTATACCTTAGAAATCTAAAGTATCAAGGTTTTTAACTGTGTTATATTATTTGTATCTCTGATTTAATATCAGGTACATCTTGTTGTAATCCTAAACAATTTATTTAGAATTTGTAAAAGTCTCAAACTGAGTGTTTGAGAAAAGAAGTTCCAGGCTGAGTGTTTGAGCAAGGAAGTCTTGAATAATTGGTTTAGGTAAGAAAGTCTCGTTCTAGTATGATTGAGCAAGGAATTCATGAACATTTGGTTTAGGCAAGGAAGTCTTTTTCTAGTGTGATTGAGCAAGGAAGTCATGGACAATTTGTTTAGACAAGAAGTCTCTTTCTAGTGAGATTGAGCAGGAAGTCTTGGACTGGTGTGTGTAAGCAAGTTGTAATCAGGTTCAAATTATAGTGAAAAGATCTTGTGTGGCAAGAGGACTGGACTAATCTCGTTATAAAGGAACCAAAATAGTCGTTGTGTGTGATTTACTTATTGCTTATGCACTTTAAATATTTCGCTGTTGCATACTCTAGTTTAGAATTTGAACTTAGTTAGATTCATAAGCCGCTGTTTTGAAAAAAGCAGAAGTTATCATATACACGATTCAACTCTCCCTTTTTGTGTATTTCTCACCTTTAATTGGCATCAAAGCACGATCTTTGCTTAACACTAAACAGTGGTATATAAAAAGATCCCAAAGAGAAAAGTATACTAGATGGGTGATACTAGTGATAATCATATTACTGTCACTAGTATACCACATAACTATAATGCTCATGAAGAGAGTCATTATTCTGATAAACCACTCACATTTAGTGGTGATTCTACTCACTTTAAATATGGAAGATCAAAATATACACATACACCATTGGTCTTAATTATGAGTTACGGAACATCCTTGAAGATGACATTGAAATTGAAGTGAATAATGTAAAAATTAAAAAAAAAAATAATTTATATTGCTTTTTTCGCGTCCTTTACTAGTCATTTATAAATTAAAAAAAGAAAACATAAAATGCAATTCATACAAGGGACATTATCGGAATTTCGTTCAAGTAAACCCAACCCACGGGAAAACCCTAGTTTATAAATCCATATAAGACGTTCCCATTTTCGCAGTGTGCCTCAATATCTCTCTGGCGAAACCCTAAATCGAGTTCTCATTCCTCTTCCCTCTACATCAAGTAAGCTATCGATTTCTTCAATATTCACTTTCACAGTTATAGCATAGATCTGTGTTTTTAACGATTGAATTTTCCTCTTTTTTGATTCAGAAATGAAGGTTATCGCTGCTTACTTGTTGGCCGTTCTGGGAGGCAACGCAGCCCCTTCAGCTGCTGATATTAAGAAGATTCTCGCATCAGGTGCCAAATCCTAATTTCACTTTTACATTACCCAAATCTGTAATCTCGCTGTGTTTTTTGTTTTTGTTTTTATTCTTTGTGCGTTTTTTCTCTGTTTTTTAGGATCAATGATTAGTGTTATAAACATTCAAGTAGATCCACTAATTGAACCCTATTTGCTTCTAAGTTTGTGATTTCTGAATTCATAATCAGATTAATGAAAATAGGTCAATGAATATATTGGGTTAAGTTGAAAATTTGTACTTTTATATAGTTTTGGAATATTTAGGGTAAAGTTTTCATTTTTCTAGTTGAATTAGGTTTTGCTGCGTTTGCAATTGATAAATCTAGCTTGGTTTCAGCTGTTTGATTTGTATTTTGAATTTGTCTTTAGGTATTTTTCATAAGCAATTTGAGTTATTTTTGTTTTTAATTTTTGGTTTATATTTATAGTTGGAATTGAGGCTGAGGACTCAAACATTGAGTTGCTCATAACCGAAGTCAAGGGCAAGGATTTTGCTGAGCTCATTGCCAGTGGAAGAGAAAAGTTGGCTTCAGTTCCATCTGGTGGTGGTGGTGGTGCTGTTGCTCTTTCTGCTGCATCTGGAGGAGGTGCTGCAGCTGCAGCTCCAGCTGCTGAAGCTAAGGAGGAGAAGAAGGTGGAAGAAAAGGAAGAATCTGATGATGTAAGTTTAACGATTATGGAACCACTGTTGATTGTTGCTTGTTAATGTTATGATTATGCTGATGTTTGTGTATTGTTGTTTTATTTATGCAGGACATGGGATTCAGCTTATTTGACTAAGCGGTTTACTTGTTAGACATTTGTGGTTCTAGCTTTAGTTTTAGTTTACTCACAAGATTTTGCTTATTTCAATTGAGACAATGTAATGAATGACATCGAATTTAGGTGTTTTGCATTTATGTGTTACCTTTTTTTGGGTTCTTTTTATTTATATGAATGAGTACAAGACTAGAATGAATTTCCCCTACTTTCACTGCCATTAGTTGTTAATTCATGAATCTACTATTGAGTACAACACCTTGAATGAATTAGCATGTGACAGCGGTCTAGTTGCATTGTTGCCAAATTGATTTGCATTGACCGATTCGGGCTGCTAGGAGCGACTGGGTCTTTTTTTTCCATTTGTTTCTCGTGTTCTAGTATTACGGTTTATTCTCTTTTTGTTATATTTTTCATCTGTTTACTGTGCTTCCATATGCATACGTATGCTGTTGATTGCTCCACCTTTCTCTCTGATTCACTGTACTTCCATATGCATAAGTATAGCTTCCATATGCATAAGTATACTGTTGATTGCTCCACCTTTCTCTCTGGTTCACTGTGCTTCCATATGCTTAAGTATACTGTTGATTGCTCCACCTTTCTCTCTAATTCACTGTGCTCCCATATGCATAAGTATACTGTTGATCGTTCTCATTCCATAGTTGTTCCATAGTTGTTGTTTGGTAAAATGGGGATTCTGAATGAATGAAATTATCATGACTAGAAAAGCAGTATTTGCTATAATTACTGAATTGCTCATTTTTATGTATATTCTTCATAGGAACATGCAAATCCTTTTTCTAAGAGATTTTAATTGCTCATTTTTGGTTCACATTTTTATTTGCTCTTAGAATTGCCAGAGGTTTGTTTGTAGATACTATATTATTGTATGGTACACATTTATAGACAACAGGGTTTATGGTGTCAATGTCTTAACTATAAGTCAAATTAGGTTTTTAGCTTAGAAAGATTATGCTTCTGGTTATAGAAAAGAGTTGTCATCAATATTTTTCCTAGAACTATGAATGGGATCGATTTATCTGAATAAGCATAAATAGGTCCTCCTATTAAAGCGAATTGGAAATCCCTTTGACTGCTTTCCAATGACGTTTGTCTGGTTTGGATATGAACTTACAAATTCGACTTACAACTTTTGTCAAATCTGATAATGACACTTACATAAGAACATTAAGTCAGCTTCTGCATGTGTTTGGATAATTATCCAATGAATATTTAAAGTGATTCATCAATGTAATATTCATAACCTTTGAATTACTCATGTCAAATTTGTCTAGCACCTTTTCAACATAACTATTTTGTTTTCAACATAACTATTTTTTGAGTCATAATTCTCTAGCACTGCCATCCATGTCAATTCCGTATTAAGAATATTTTTAGCAACATCTAAAACTTTTCATATCAAACTCCTTTTTCAACACGTTTTTTTCATTTACATCATGTAGATGATCAACAACAATCAACAGCCATTGTCAAGGCTCATAACACAAAACACAAGAATCACACCAACGCTTTTTGTAGTTAATATGAAGCACGTATAAACCAAAGTGTTTTGATAATTGTTTTGGAGACTTCTTTAAACCATTCAAAGACTCTTTTCAATTTACAAAACTAGTCTATCATGTCCCGTGTCATAGCCCTCTATGGCTGTTCCATGTAAATTTTTTCACTCTATGTAAATTTTCTTAATTAGATTATGGTTAAAAATAAGTGTCTTCACATCCACCTCCTTTAAGTACATGTCTTGGCTGGCTTCCAAGGCGAACACGAGTCAAATAGAAGTATGTTTGACAACTAGAAAAGAATGTTTGACAACCAGAGAAGACGACCAGAGAGAAAGTCTCATCTTACTCATTCCCCCTTCCTTTTTTGTTGTTGTTGGTTTTCTTTAGACTGATGACCATTTTCCCCTTAGCAAGTTGAACAAGCTCCCATTTATTATTTTTTTCTCCAAGGACTTCATCTCTTCTACTATTGTACTCATTTACTTATCTTTCTCTAAGCTAGATATATCCTTTTAAAAGGAGCGGGGGTCTCCAAAATTAGTAAGAAATACATAAACTTCCAAGTCTTAGTATCCATATCTTCCCGGTGACTATGTTGAATGATGTTTTTTAACGTAAGAAAAAAATATAATCTTATACTTCACTTAAAATTTAAGGTTTGTGGTCAATTTCAGTATCAGAGCCTAGTTCAAACATGTAAATTGTTCACTGGTGGCAGATCAACATCCATCCAAATCACTTATTTGTTGGAAGTTTATCCCTCATATGCTAACACATATGTAGAAACTCACTTTTTACTACTCATCAAAAACAATATCCTTGCTGATCACCATCTTCTTTTTAATCAGATCTCATAACTTGAACCCCTTCACACCTTTTGTGTATCCGACAAAGACACACTTCTTCGACTTTGGATTAAGTTTGAGTCGATCTTCACTAGATATATGCACATAAGCTAGATACTAAAAAATTCTTAAATTGTTAAGATTAATAGGATTACATGTCCATACCATCTTTACATCATTTCTATCCAATGAAGTTCCTAGTGATCTGTTGATAAAATAATATGCCATGTAAATTATTTATGTCCAAAAACCTTTTGGAAATAGGTTATCGTTGTGATCGTAGTAAAATGATTGATTGATTATTAATTTGATTGATTTATTATCATAGTCTTTGTATTCCATTTGGTATATTATGGACATTCGAGTTTCCAATAATCGGTTCAAATTAGACGAATTTTCCGATCTAAGATAGAACTTCCGCTTGTCATAGTTTTTCATTCGCTTTTAAAATAATATTTTTAAAAGATATTTTTACTTTGGGGATATACTCACCCCTCTCTAGATAAGTTGTCGTCTAACAATAATCATTCTTTGTTTGGGTGTCATCTAAAATCAGAGTTGATTACATTCGATTTAGGTTTGTGTACCACTAAATTGGGTTGAGAATCTTTGGGGGTTTCATCGGGAAAAACCAAAGAGTTTGTCCACCAAGATTAAGGTATTAATTTGGGTTTTTTTATAATATTTTGAAATTCCGATTCAGCTGAGTGAAAGCTTTGAAGAACGGGGGTTCTTGCAAAGAAGTAGAGCGAGATGGAGGGTCGATTAAAAATCTTGGATGACAATAATTAGCAATTTGGATTCAGCCGAGTGAAAGCTTCGAAGAACGATGAGTTTGGTTAAAGGAGTAGCGTGTGACAGAGGATCAAATTGATTTTGTTGGGTGACTTGATCCAACTCAGATTAAGGGAAGAAAAAGTGTTAGGATCAACATCAAACATATAATTTATAGGATTGAATTGCTATATTTCTCTGGTAAATGATTTTTGTAAAGTAAGATTTATTATATCAATTCTGAACAGAATTGGGGGCAAATGTAGCCATAACGAGGATTATTGATGAACTGCCTAAACAAACCCTCACGTTCTCTCTCTTCTCTCTCTCTCTCTCTCTCTCTCTCTCTCTCTCTCTCTCTCTCTCTCTCTATATATATATATATATATATATATATATATATATATATATATATATATATATATATATATATATATATATATATATATATATATATATATATATATATATATATATATATATATATATATATATATATATATATATATATATATATATATATATATATATATATATATATATATATATCATTTACGCTTAGTTGCAAATTATTGAATTCGTTGTTTGTGCAATTGATAAGTTTAGATAAACATTTATTAAATTAAATTTTTTTGAGTGATTACAATCCATAAGATTAAAATTGGCTTTTGAAATCAATAAAACAATAAGAAAAAACTGACAACATCAATTGCGCATCAAATGTTTGATAATTTACCTCTTTGTATTTGTTGTATTAGATTTCATTGGAAACATGTTTCTATTGTGATCATATTCAAACGTGTTGTTTGTGAAAATATATTGTCTCCATTGATTAACATTACCATTTCATATAACATTGGTTTACCACATATTTGAGCTTTTCGATAAAGGTTCGAATTAGACGATAGTTGATCTGAGTGTTTTCCGATTGCCAAAGTTTTAAGACTAATTTTTCGAAAAGAATTTTTAACTTGGGATATATTCACCCCCTCTAGATAAGTTACAATCAACTACCAAGCAGTATCATGAGCTCCGGTTCATTTTGTGCTTAAAAAAACACTTATTAGATTATGACTTCCGAACCTAAAGTGACGTACAATAGAGCACCTATCTTCACCGGTGAAAACTAAGGTTATTTAAAAGCTTGTATGAATATCCATATCAACTCATATTGATAAGTAAGGGAGTATGGAACGCCATTACCAATGGTCCTAATAAAATTACAATGACTGATGCTATTGGTGTTTTCATACCTAAATCAGAAGCACAATGGGATGATAATGATAAGAAGTTATGGGTTTGTGATTGGAAAGCACAAAATATTCTCATATCCCCACTTGGAGTTGATGAATATTATCATGTTTTCCATTGTGAGACTGTATAAGCGATATGGGACGCATTACAAGTTGCCCATGAAGGAACTAATGAAGTCAAACAATTTAGAGTTAATACATTGAGGTTCACACATCTCATAAACTGTTTGAATGCACTTGGGAAACCGATTTCCAATTAAATTTCTACTAATAAACTTTTGAGGTGTCTTAATTGAATGTCAATCTAAGGTCACCTCAATTAAGGAAGTTAATGGTATTACAACACTCGACCTTACTACATTGTCTGGTACGCTTGAATAACACGAGAAAAATTCACTTGCTTGGAAAAACATGATAAAAAGCATGAGAATAAGCTAAAGAAGGAGAAATGTAAATAAAATGAGATCAAAAATAATTTCGTTGCTATAAATGCTTCTAGTTCGAGGTCCTCAACAAATGAGTAAAGTGATAGTGAAATAAATGACGACAAGAATTCAGATGATGAAGAAATGGGGCTTTTTGTGAAAAGGTACAATAGTTACATCAAAAGAAATGGTGTAAAA